CGATGTTAAACCAAGTGCTTTGTGGGAGGCAACCCATTGTTATCTGTGTGTTTTTATTTTGAATGTTATGTTGTTGCATTTAATTAAGAAAATTATGGTAGTATATTGAATATAAAATAATTTAGTAATGATTCTAAGACCTTAATAGATGACTTATACATGTTAGAATGAGTATTTGGATGTTAAGCTGATCTGTGCAAAATTAAGCACCCGACACTTAAGCGCCAACTTTCAAAACTTAAGCGTGACAGTTTGTTAAACATTCTAAATTATGTTTCTAGAAGATTTAAACATGGTTTAGTGGGTTTTTACTTGGTTTAGTGGTTTAGTAATGTGTCTAATAGTTTTAGGCTTGGTCTTAAGCCTATAAATTGAAGGGAATGAAGAGAATTCTCACCCCACTTCAATTTTAACTCTATAATTTAAGTGAAGAGAGAGAGATCTTGTAAAGATGTCATCTTGGGAGATTGATATGAAGAAAAATAAGGAAACTATAAAGAATAAGTTCATTAGTCAAAGTGTGCAAGAATTATACAACAGTTTCCTAGCCGTTAGAATAACAGAGAAAATCACTTAGAATAGCAGAGAAAATCACAAAAAATTGAGGCTGAAGTGGCTTTAATTGAAGCAAAAGTGATGGAAGTCAAAGCACATTTGGAGCATATTTGATGGCAATTTAAGATGCAATTTAGCCACACAAGTTCTATTGAAGAAGTGGACAAGACTATGTATTTGAAAAACAAATGAATTGAAGAAGACTCAACCAGAGTTCTTCATCAATGTCTGTTCTATTAGATCTATATTCCAAATGCCCAAGGAGAAACTATTGAAATGCCAGGATTCGTTCCACCAGAAGGAGAGTGGAATTAAGTTCTTAGTTTAGTGTTTGTTTGTTTTATGTGTTTGTATGTTACTATTAAGTTTGATTTATGTGTTTTTAGTGTTAAGTTTGTTTAGTTTTTGTGCTTAGGAATTATCTTTTTCTAGACTCTTTGGTTTGAGAAATTATGTATCACAAATATTTGTACTTATTTATGAATTAATATAAGGGTTTGTTTGTCTGTGAAATTTTGTGTTATTTTGTGTTGAATCAAATCATTTAATATTGGTGAGTTTGCAAAAGAGGAGAGCTGAAGGGGAAGAAAATAGTTATTAAAGATTTATAAGACCATTTAGGGGTGGTTGACTTAGGCTAGATATGCATTTCACTTAAAATAAAAAATATCAAAATTCTTGCACTAGTTCTTAAGCTCCAAGACCACGCGCTTAAGCACTAGATAACCTAAGAGGTAGGTGCCTAAGCGCAGAACCATTCGCGCCTATGTGTCAATTTAGGTAAACCAATTTGCAAATGGTTTAAAGTGAAAAATTGAGCCGAAAACTTCCATTTTCACCCCGACTTCGTCTCCTACCTCTGGTTTTCACGATTTTGAGAGCTATGGATTCCTTTAAAGTGGAATTTTCTTGGTGGAGTCAAGCCAAATGTATTAGATTTGATCTTCTTGAGGTAAGAGCTTCACTTCTATGTAAAAATTTTTAATTTTCACCATGTATTTGGAGAACATTATGGAATTGACCAAAAATCACTTTTCATGGTAAAAATTTGAGAAACATTTATAGAAAATACATAGAAATGATAGTCTAAGCTTTTAGAAGTTGAGTTTAGTGATTTAGTCTTGAATTTAGTTTAGTGATTTAGTCTTGAATCTTGAATTTAGAATTTATTGTGAATTTTATGTGATTTTTAGAAATGGCCCCAAGAATGAAGAGGAGTAAAGGGAAGGCCCATTTCGATTCGAGCAAGTTTGTTAGCTTGAGAGCTTAGAACAGATATAGTGACGCACTACAATCAAGAAAACTGATTCCTCAGAGATGTTTCAAAAGTCCGGGTCGAGTAGTGGAAGTCTTGATTGTTTGCCGACAGTGGGAACATTTTTGTTATTTTTTTGTTGTGGCTGTGATTTATGTTGTTCGGGAATTCTACTCTAATCTGCCTGAAGCTGAAGAAGATTAAGTCATGGTTCGAGGAAGATTAGTGACTTTCTCCCCTAAGTTAATAAATATGTTCTATCAGTTGCCCCCTAGTACGTTGTGTTTTTATTCAAACTATAGTCCGACCGAGGAGGAGTTGGATGAGATCATATCATCATTGGTCGGTGGAAGAGGACTGTTGAAGAATACAATTGAAAGAAGAGTTAACTTCCTTGTGTCAAAGTTAGATACCACATCAAAGACGTGGCACTGCTTTATTTATTCTCATCTACTACCAACCAACCACCTCAGCGATGTTACTTGAGATAGAGCTACCTTGAACTATTGCATTCAACAGTTCAAGCTTATTGGTATTGGATCTCTGATTTATGAGAATATCATCAATTCTGCTATCGCTGCTATTACTACAAGTTTGGGATTCACATCCTTGATCTTTTCCTTATGTGAGCAAGTTGGTGTTAGATTTGATAGCTGGGAAGAGATACTACAGTCTCTAAATCCCATCACAAGTGTTAATGTGAAGTCTTAGTCACAACATTTGATCTTTAGCTAGAGCAGAGGGTTTTCTACTAATTCAGGTGTCTCTACTTCTCATGCTTCTACCTCACGCACATCCACATCACAATGTCAGACTTCTGGTTCTGATTAGCATTCACATTTATTTCAAAGGATGTTAGATAACATTAATTATACTGCAGCTAAAGTATTAAATTTAGAGAAATTTGTAGATCATATAAATGGATATATGAGAAGACATAGTGATTATGAGGGGAAATTTCACTCATCTTTGGAAAACCTTATGAGAGGTGACCAAAGTGTAGTTTTCTCTTCATATCCATGATATCCATCATATGAGCCTACTGCCTTTTGGGATAGTATTGATAGTGATGCTGATGAGGAAGAGGGTGACTAAATTGAGTACTTTAGTTTATTATTATTGTGAACTTTATGTGATACAATTTTACTGTACTGTTATTTTGTTTTGAGTTATACTTGTTGAGACTGCTACTTTTATTTGTGTTTTGTTTTGTTAGACACAGATGCGATGTATTTATGTTATTGTGAGTAGTGTATTTTGTTTTTGTGGTAGTAATTATTATAACTGTGTTGTCTAGGGTATTTAGTTAGTCTTATTTTGCTAGTTTGTGTTGAACTTAATCTTGAATCTTAGAAAGTTTTAGAATATTACTAACTTTCACTTAAAAACTTTATGTTTAATTTTCAGTTTACTACCACGTATTTTCCTTATTTTGTAGTTGTGAATTTTTGTTCGTGTGTTTGTTTGCTTTATATTATCATCCACTGCATAGAAGTCTAATGAATCTCAATATGTTAAAGTTAAATTAAAATTTGGTCAGATAAATTTTTACTTCCTCTCTTGTCTCATTGCCACTGTTGTTTGGACTGCAACTTTGGATCATCTTCATATCAGACATTTATTTTGTTCTTGAAGTTCTCTGGAGGTCTATTGGTTGGACTGGGTGGAGCATCATAAACACCATATCCCCCTAATCATTAGCTAATTCATTTGGATGGAAGGAAATAATGATAAATATGAGGAACTCAAAAGGACTGCCTAATCCATTGCTCTCAATTGTTGTAACTATATGGATAAAATCAAGACTCACCTTGGCCATCACACTCCTGTCCCTCCTTCTATCACAAACGTTGTTCAGAAGGTGCTCTGATGTACACCTCCCCTCCCTTGGGTCAAAATTAATACAAATGGAAGTTTTTCTGCCACTGCTACTGGAATTGGTGGGGTCTGTAGGAACTTTCTTGGGCAATGTTTGTGGAGTTTCCAATCTCCTGTCTAGTCAAGCTTTGCCTTAGAAACTAAGGCCATTGCCATCTTCTCGGCCCTTAAAATAGCTATCTATCTTAACATCCGAGCTTTTTTGACGGCCCTGCTTGCAATTGATAAATATCCTCCAGGGCAAATATGTTATTCCATGGCAACTCATATACTGGATCAGGAAGATTTTCCAACCGTATCAAAGGATACATGTTAAGTGGTGCCACATTCATAGGGAGGTCAATCAGCCTGCTATTTGGCTGGCTAGATTCTCTACTACTTCTGATCAAGTCATTTACTCTAAAGACTCTTTTGGTTTTTGAAAATGTCGATTCATGGAGATTTACTTAATCTCGCCTTCATTACATGTAACTGATTTTTGTGGCAATATATTTTTCTGTTTTTTTTAATTTTGGCCAATATATATATATATATATATATATATGCCGCGTACTCATATCAATTGGTTGGACATCTGTTTGTCAGTTGTAAGTCCCCTCTGGTCTGAGATTCGATTCCTCCGGTGGAGGTTATGGTGCTCGAATTGTTAGACGCATAAGACATCCTAAAACTTCAAACTAAAAATTATTATTTTTTAATTTAAGCTCAATTTAATTTTAAGGGATTTGCATACATATCATCAAATTCATATATATTTATATATTTAATAAAAAAACTTTCTTTTTTAATATATATATATATATATATATATAATCTAAATTTTCACTTTTACATGCTTACCCCTCAAATCTTTTATAATTAAAAAATATCACTATTACTAATTTTTTATGGATATGTTTATACATGAAAATGTTATAAGTATAAATATCAAATATTAAGTGTTAGATAACTAAATATATAAGAATTATTCGGTATGTATATGTAAAATTCTCTAAAAGTTATTTAATTATACTTTAGTGGCATTTACATATATACCACCCAATTCTTATATATTTACATATCTAGCAGCTATACTTTTATTATTACATTTATATCTGCAAATCTATCATATCATATCAAAAATATGATGATTTTAACTTGAAAAAAAAATGAAATTCACCTCTTTATGCGTAAGCAATGCAGCATGTATGTTACAATTGAAGTTTGTGTTATATATGCAAATACAAAAAAAGTCAGGGTATGTATGTAAATCTTCCTATTTTTAAGGGTGAGTTAGGACATTGGATTGCCCAAGATTGCTTGCCTCCCAACCTCTACCCGAAATACCCCAGAGGATCTGTAGACTATTCCATTCTGGATAAGGCTAACAAGGCGCCACTAACGCTTTAAGCTTACTCTGTTTCCATTCGCTCTTTCTCGGTGATGATCAGAAGTCAAAATCGCGCCTATGGGATCCGCTTTCCTCCTTAGCATTCGTCCTTCGCCGTCGCCTTTGCTGTCTCCGTTGTTGTTGCAGCTCTCAACTGATGCCGGGCACAGGACTGGATTTCCGTTGTTTACGCCAAGCCGGCCACCTCGAGACATTGGTATGTTTTTTTCTTTTTGGTTTTTGGAGCATTTGATGTATACTTTCCTTGCCTGGTTCTCGTGGACTGATTCTATGCGCTAATTTGTACTGAAGACGGAATGAAATGGGCGACGTTTGATTCATTTAAAAAAAAATGTTGTTTTCGGTGATCAGGGATTGTTTTCAATTGATTTGAGCCATCCATCTCGATTTCTTCAACTCTGCTCTGAACCTCAGATCAGTTGTGCAAGCTAAATGTGTTTTTGGATTAATTGAAACTTATTATTAACTTTTTTTTTGCGGCCCTCATCAGCAGCTAGTTAATCCTATTTATTATTTCTCAAGCAACTTACCATTGCCAGAAGTGGGATTTCTTGCAGCATGAAGAAATGTGAGAGCATGGTTAGTATGTGGTGTCAATGATTGTGTTTGTTAAATCCTTTTGAGACGTAGGATCTAATATCATTTGTGAGTGCATACAACTCCGTAAAAAGACTTTGAGAGAGTGATAGAGAGAGATAGATGAGAGTCTTTTGAGGGAAACTTAAGAAGTATATTAAATTCAAATCTCTGGTAAGTTGGAGGGAAGCGACTCCTCGAATTTCCCAGAGTTTCGACATTTCATAAAGAAAAGAGAAAATGGAGATCGCAAGCAGTCTCCAATGAAGGAAGAAAGAGAAAAGGATCCTTCATCTATCATTTTTCCTCCCCTTTTATACATAAGAGAGAAAAACAATAACAAAATTGAAATAATATATCTTGTACTGTATGTTGCATTTCTCCAATTTTGATGGAAAGACTGTGAAGTAGATGTAAGTTATTACTGATACGACGACCATCACAGATACTTGGATTGGAAAAATTGAATCTCAAGAGTCAAGCATTGTCTTTTGTTAACGGATTGACGGATGTTCTTATTGTTCATGACGACTTCTTATTAATGATGATGGTTTCCTCCAATAGCTGCCATTGCACTGACGAGCTAGGTTGTCCTTTCAAGGAAAATGATAACGATCGAATCGATAGGTGGGCTCGATTCAGCCACTTATGTAGGTGGGCTCGATTCAACCACTTATGTAGGTGGGCTTGATCCAGTAAGAGGAAATTAACGAAAATTTTTATATACTCGTATTTGTGTATGCATTAAGTTTCCCGATTCTCTCGTCTTTTTTATTGGATTTCCGCGAGAAGAATAAGTGAATGAATATCATTTTTACTTCTTCGAGTCCTTTGAGGTGATGAGGATTATCTTGGAAATGAATCCTTTTATCCTTGGGGGTTCATTTGTTTATCCTACATGGAATTGAATTTCTCTGTTATCAATTACATTTCAGGAATGGCCTTTGCCTAGGGGCACTATATTTTGTTTTTCAAGGAGTAGTCTCTGTATTTATTTTGATGATTGAAATTTGCTCTTTTCTTGGGTGTCTTCGCTCTCCCCTGAAAAAGATCTATTTTGATTTACTTATCCTGCCTTTTGAGGTCTAATGAGGGTTCTATTTCTATTCAATTGGGTGATTTTATTTTGAGGAAGTAAGTTTTGACTGAAGAAGTGAGTTCAAATGCATTTTGTATCATAATGTTTTTTTTTAAATTCGTTCAAATTTTTTTAAGAAATAATTACAAAAGTTAAGTTAGAGGTCATAAAAGGTACTCTGATATTTATTCAAGTTTAAATAATTGCATTCCCTTTGGGTTTTTGTAGGGTCATGTATGAACGAATGTGGATCCCTGTATATTTCATCTGATATTTTTTGCCTTTGAGAGAGCTCAAAGTTCTTTTGGAAGAGATGAGGGTTTTGCTCGTCCATGTGGAGGTGATTCTTCGTCGTAGGGGGCAGGAGCTTTGTTTCAAGACGGAATAAGAGTCCTAATTGAAATTTGAAGAGGAGCCTTGAAAGAAAGCCAAAATGTCATAGGAGAAAGAAATCTGTAAGGGTGGTTCTTTTGTAAGCTCGTTGAGGCAAAACATTATTTCTTATGATCCCTTCCAGGTAAAATCTGTAAGGGTAGTTCTTTTGTAAGCTCGTTGAGGCAAAACATTGTTTCTTATGATCCCTTCCAGGTAGCCTTTTATAGGGAAACCGCCATACACCATGTGTTCTCTGCAATAAAGTACACAAACTTACAACTAAGTCGAGCGTTATCCGCAATACACCACATCCTCACCGTACAATGAAGCGCCCTCCTCGATCTTCCACACACCATAACACTCAATCTCCTTGTCATACACAACCTCTCAAATCTTAAAGGAAAACTAACCCCAGGAGTTTCTTTCCAAGGAAGGAGGAAGGGAAACCCTAAGGCCTAACAATGAAACCTTTTGCTGAAAGAAACCTCTAAAGTGCTGTCAAGTTCCCTCAGGATGTCCCAATGCATCTCTTTATATATCACTTGCCAACTTCACCATGCAAAAATATGCCAAAATAACACTTCGACTAGCGTCAGCATAGCTATGTCCGAGCTTGATGTAATTAAGCCGCAGACCTACATAGCTACACCTAATCCCGACGTAATTACGCCAGATACACATTGGGGCTTGCGTACTTAAGCCAACAAGTGGCATAATTACAACAGTCCGACAATTTTGCTCGCTTTATTTTTTGGCTCTGTAACACATCTTCAACTCATGTAACTGCAAAATACCACAAAAAAACTTTCTACAAGTGTAAAATCATGATAAATAGGAAAGTACAACAGTCCGACAATTTTGCTCGCTTTATTTTTTAGCTCTGTAACACATCTTCAACTCATGTAACTGCAAGTGTAAAAATCATGATAAATAGGAAAAAAAATATAGCATATAAAACAACAAAATCACATAAATTTACATCGTATCAGTATGCCTGTATTCCTGTATATAATTCAGTCGATAACTAGTTAAAAATTTAGCGGTTGATCGTTTATCGGTTTTGTAGAAGATTTAAGGTGGCATGTTCACCCCTGAGAATTTTCTTTGAGAATTGGCATACAGTCCATAAGAATCGTCAGCCAACAATGCTTGATGAATCATTTAGTCAGAAAGTCGGTAAAAAATCGGTGGACATTGTCAATCAGTTTCTTTGTCGATTTGTTATGATTTTATTATTATGTAGGTTTGGTTTCTTTGAGTTGCATAAATTTTGTCAATGTCAATGTAAATAAGTGTTTGGTATTAAGAAAAGATAAATTAGTATGCCGTGAAGAAGAGTTGTCATGGTTTACCCTTGTTAGAGTTCTTGGTTTAAGGGAAACTATTGCATTTTACATCAAGCTAAAATAAAATGATTTTTTTTCTAGCTTAGCACACGTAGATTGATTATTAAAAGTACGAGGGTCTTGAAGATTATGATTTGGGAGATGATAATATAAAGTAGATAACACTATTTTTTATTTTTATATTATTTTTTGTGATGATTGTGTTTTTGATGAATATGCAACTTGCAAACAAACTATTTACCATATTTTAAGCCTAATCAGCAATCTTTTTTTCTAATGGTATGTATGGCTACAACCATTCTATGTTTATGTATAAATTTAATTGCATTATTTGCGATTATATTTTATTTTTCAATTTGATTTTATTTTGTTACTTCATTCAAGGGCAAAGTCAGGAATTTTATTTAGTGATACTGGAGTTAATTTAAACCACAACAGAAACAAAATATAATTGTTGAAACTCAAACTAGGTTACAACAACGACACTGACAATTGAAAAATAACAACACAACACAAAGGAACACTCTAGGGCTAGAGCAAAGTGGTAGGTTGTGTTGGGATGGCGACAACGAGGCATTGGAGGTGGTAGGAATGGGACAGGGGTTTGCTAAAAGTAGTCAGCTGGAGGAGGGGAGTTTGCGGTTGGAGGGGAAGGGTCACGGGTTGGCTGAGGGGAGCAAGTTGCGATTGGAAGGTGGCAGCGGGATTGGGGTTAGAATAAGCGGGGTAAATTCACGACAAAATCCTGTGAGAAGGGGGGTAGGGGTGCTATGATAGAGTCTTGGTATCAGGAGGACTGGAATGGTCGCGAAAAGGAGGCGGGTAGGAAGGAAGTTACGGAAGGAGGAACAACGATTGACCGAGAAGTAGAACGCGACCCAGGAGATGGGCGTGACAAGCAACAGGGGGTTCTTGGGGTTCCAACGGTCTGATGGGAAGGGGAATCAGGGGTGGGATCATGTGAGGGGAGAACGATGGAGAGGAATAAGGGAAGATAGGTATCCTCGCGGGATCGAGTTACAGTTGGAACACCTCTCGAACATTTGGAGAAGATCATCACCTCGGATGAGCTACAGCCGATGCACCTCTTCTCCTTCGGATACAACCCTAGATGGGGAAAACAGTCGCTGATGGCAAGCTGAACCAAAATCTGAAAACAGACAGGCAAAAACTACACTAGGACAGCAAACACATATAAATAGATGGATAAACGGAAAATGAAAATAGGAAGGGGGAAATCATTCCCGCCCATTGAAAAGATGGAGGGGGCTAGTTTAGCCCCTAGCTGGACCAAACCTTCTCTAAGCCCCTGAATCAGTCTCTCGGGTTGGGGTAGCTTCTACTTTATTCGTCGAAACTTTTGGCTCTTCTTATGTAATTTTAGTAGCACTTGGATCCCACTGACAATTGCATTATTCTCCAAGGCATCTAAGGATCGGTCCCAACTTACAAGCAAACATCCACATCAGTCTAACCTTTTGTGAGTCTATTTTTGAACTGAACTAATCCTGCATGTCTCACCTCTGCTACTAAATACTCCTAAGGTCATCCACGGTTGGCTTAACAATATATGAAGTGGGGGTAACCTGAACCTCCCCACATAGTGGTGGCACTGGTGGTAAGGTATCGAGCATGATGTCCTAAAATGCTCTTTGTTGTGCCCTCATGTCTAGAACTGATGTCTTAGTCCTATCATCCGTTGTCATCACCAAAACAAGTCCCATCAATGTTGCTCTGTTGGCAAGAGCGCCTTTGATCTCGTGCTTCGTCGAAGGGAGGACTATGCACTTCCCATCCTTGATGAAGGAATATGTGTTTCTA